TTAGAAGCCCGTCAGATGCAGCCTGCGAGAGGGCATTTCTGAGGCTGGCTTTGATCTTCTCTCCTAGAGTTTCCTGTAGAGTCTGGATAGAGGCATCGACAACGTTCTTCACGGCTCCGCTGGTGTTTTTGGTTTGGCCCTCCACAACTTGCAGTAGCACGAGACGTGCATTCTCAGTGAGCTTCGTCTTCACTGCACCTCTGCAGAGAATTCTCGATATGCTTCTTGATCTCCGATAGCTTCTGGGTCTGCTTCTGGAACACCTCGGCATGCTACTGTCGCGCCTTCTGCACCGCACCGCCTGTCGCTCTGCAGCCAGGGATGACAAGGCCTCCTAAAAGTTTTCCAAGTTTCCTTCCGTCCTTTTCTGTTGGGTCTCGAGCTTCTCTGCCAGGCAGTTGAACACACGTGTCTGCTCCATCCTCAGTTCCACCAACAGCTTCTTTGCCACAATTTCCACCAACGCTTGTTTAATCTTTGTTGTCACCATCTCGGCACAACTCTCCTCATGTTCTAGTTTCCGCGCAGTCTCCAGCTCGGTTCTGAGGGTCTACTGTGCCTCTCACAGCTGTGCCACCTCCGCATTATTTGTGACATTGTGCAGGTCGCTTGCCCTGCTCTACAGCAAACACGACAGCTGCTCGGCAGAGACCATGCGGTCCCCGTAGTGCACAAACAATTTCTCTAGCTCAGCCCTCTTCTCCAGATTCCCAAGGTGCTGGAACTGCGACTGCAGAGTCAACCTCTGCTGCAACGCTGCTTGCAGATCCAGACGCAGCTGCTGTGCGCCCCCCTCCTCAAGATTCCATCTCGGCGTCTGTCCATCGCTCCTCTGCAGCACAACAATCTACATCGCTGCTCCCAGGCCTTACATGGCGGGCTGTTGCACAGCCACAGTCTCCTCGCCTGATGCAAATGCTCTAGAAGTCACGGCCACAGCTCCTGCCCCGTTGTTTGAAACTCCTGCCAATCCGCCATCCTCTGCCGAAGCGCCAGCCAACCTTGCGTTGCGTCCCTATTCGGCAGCCCCATGCTGTGCAGTCGCTGTTACATTGGCCAGAGAGTCGGGGCTCTGTGTGGCTGTACTACATGCAAGCCCCCCTACCGCCTCTGCTGAACCGTCGTGTGCAGATGCGAAAATCCCTGCCGGGATTCCTGGCACAGTTGTGGCCTTACCCTGTTGCAACCTCGGATGCGCGCACACCACTCACCTTCCCTGCTTTGCAGAGACAAGACTCCCCCCTTCTCCACCTTATGGTGGCGCAACCGCACCATCTGCAATTGCACCACCAGCAGAGTCATGTCCCTCTCGTGCTTTGCCGGCTACCCCAGGACCACTGCTCGCCATTGCAATTCCGCGCTTTGCAGCAATTCCCATTGCCACCACTGCCACTGCCATATCAGCTCCTCCGCCTCTCCTTCGCCGAGACGGATGCATCAAATGCAGTTTTCCCCTCCGCCTTACGTTTGCTCCGGGTCCCTAGTGTGCGACCCACATCTTCCTGGCTCTCCAGCAGTCCTCTTTGCTCTCGTATTGGGCGTCCTCTTCATCATCCATCTCCACTTCCTCACCCATGCCTTCCCCCTCCAGCTCATCATCCTAGTGTTGTGTCTGCACCTCCTCGTCGATCTGCGTCCCTTCGAAGTGGTAGGCACGAATCTGCAACAAGTCTTGTCGTAGAGTGGTGGTGGTCATACCGGGCTGCAGCATCTTCGACGGCTGTTGTTTGTGTCCTGCATTGACCAGCATGTGCCAGCTGTTCATGAGTTTCACGAGCTGGAGCAGGACAAAACACCACAACCCCACAGATTGCGGACTGTCCAGCTGTTTGATACACTGCCGCAGAGAAGAGTGCATCGAATTTGGGAGGGACTGATGAGTCCCGTCGTCGAAAGATTTTATCATTCAATAGTATCATTTTGTAGAAATGTCAAATAACTCACCCCGGCTCTGTGACCTCCATCTATGCCAGACGCTTATCCATCTCCGCCAACACCGCGTCGACATGCGTGGATCTCTGTCCACATTTGAACTCCACATGGAATTGGCAGAGAACATTGGAGAAGTGTTCAGCAAAGTTTTACGGTCAGAACTATCTGCCAACGAGCACTCACTTAAAGGCCCGTTCAGCCACTGCCGTCTGCTTGTGGGTGTTGTGCCTCCTTTTGGATCGAGGTGGACAATTAGGGTACTGAAAACAAACCATGGCTCCAGCTCTACATCATTTGGACGCAGAACAAGCAACAAGCTGACCCTAGCATACGGTAGGATTCTGTGGAGACCTGCACATTTCATTAGAACCACTAAAAAAAAACTTGATCGAGAAAATAGAGGACTCTGGCCAGGCCTTACTTGGTCCACAGTGGAATGATGACAACGTGTTTCTTCAGCATGCTGTCGTCCATGCTTGCCATCCGAGGGCGTGATTTTTTCAAAGAGAACTCAGCGGAGGACTTCGTTGTAGTCATGATGTAGAGTTTCTGCAGATGCTTTTCTGTTAGAAGCTACAGTGGCGGAATAAATTGTCCACATGTTCAGCCTTTTTAGGCATTTTGATGAGTGCAGCAGCGTAAATATTAAGCCTTAATGTATGGTGTGCATACACGCTGAGAAGTTCAGTTAGAGCACTCACTCGAGTTGACAAACACCAAAGTAGTACCACACATGGTCCTTAAACACCTAAGCATAGCAAAGGAATAACATCCGGACAATTTGTACCGAAGAAAGATAGCATACTAGATTCTAGGAAAACTAGTACCTAGTCCAGCGTCCCTTTGCCCGAATCGGCAGGCTGTCGATCAGGTTTGCACACACCTCCGCCGGTATCTTGTCCCATTCCTCCTGCACCCTCTCCCACAGCTCCTGCATTCCACTTGGCGGCTTTTCGTACTTCCCCAGCTGCCTTTTCAAGTGTGCCCAAAGGTGCTCAATCGGGTTAAGGTCCGGGGAGCACGATGGCCATTCCAGCACCGCGTACTCCTGCTCCCCAAGCCAGTCTTGGACCAGACGAGACCTGTGCTTGGGATCATTGTCGTGCTGGAAAATGACCTCTGAGGGGGAAAGCTTGAAAAAATCGATGGTCTGTTTGAGCTCATCTTGCAAGATGCTGCGATACAGCGGCCCATCCATCCTGCCATCTATCTTGCACATGAACCCCGCCCCCTCATACGTCATGCAACCCCACACCATCACAGAACCGCCCCCATGCTCAACTGTCTGTTGGACTTGATGGCTCCGAAGGCTGGTGCCCTCGCGAATCCAGGCGTACGCACGTCCGTCGGAGCAGTAGCGGTTTATCTTTGTCTCGTCAGACCAAATCACCCGCTTCCAGTCCTCCAGCGTCCAGTCGGCATGCGACCGCGCGAAGTCGAGACGATCTCGGATGTTTTTCGGTGAGAGCCTGGGTTTCTTGGGCTGTGCACGGTGATCAGCCCCGCAGATCGTAATGAGTTCCTGACCGTCTTCGAGTCTACGGCGAGATCGTGCTTCTCCAACAACATATATGCCGCGTCTACAGAGCTTTTCGCCTCGCCGCTTGTAATCGCGCGTATTATTCCGCGCTGGAGACGGGTAGTGATTAAGCGGGGGCGGCCGGCCGAAGGCATCGTAGGTCGCACCTCCTCGAGACTAGTCTCGGCAGCCACTTTCAAACCGTAATCGTGCACGGTGCTCTTGCCTATGCCAAGAACTTTGCCAATTTTCCTAGTCGAATGCCCCACACGCAACATGCTTCTGATTCGCGCACGCTTCCGCTCATTTAACGGCTTCATGGCGATGCGGTCGTAGGCTCGCTTCCGGACTAACTCCTAAGCCAGCAACTGTTGCGCGTGACGATGTACACACCGAGTGACGGGGGAAAATAGATCTACTCTTCCGCTCGGTAGGAAATGTCCGCATCGATAGTCGAGGAGTAAATTTCAACCCCACTTTCCGGTTGTGTCACAATCGCGCCAAGCAAGAAACGGTTGAAGCAGAACTCGAAAACCTTGTAACGGAATGGCAAAAACCGGGTGTTACTATGTTCGAAACATGTGTGGCATAGCGATACGTTTCAAAGTGTTAAACATCCGGGCAATTTATTCCGCCACTGTACGTTGCAAAATGCCCGTGCAAAATGCCGAGGGCTACGATGCAAAATGCCCGTGCAAAATGGCACCACGGTGTCGAACAGCTAGGCGGCCATGCGTAAGCACAACACTAAGACCTTTTTCGGTGGCTGACAAAGCCAGAGGAACCTACATAACACCAAAGTTGACAAGGGCCTCGTTGGGAATAATCGGTGCGAGTGAGGTCGACAGTAAATCCGCCAGGGGACAGGGAGAGGCTGGTTTCCACCACAGAAGTGCTAGCGCTAGAGCTCAGATGGAGCTAGAGCTCAGACGGAGAGAAGACCTTTTGTGAATAACACAGAAAAAGATGAAAAATGAAACCAAATAGAGAGCTCACAGCCCAGAAAATTAGGCCACACAAGGAGAATGTTGCATGCTGCGCGCCAAACATTTTTGCTACGGACCACATGCTGTTGTTCTACAAATCGTTTTCTACATTTGGGCTTAAAATGGCACACCTATATACACCATAGGGATTTTACAAATGGCCATAACGCCCAACTTTGTTAGACATTTGGGCCCACATTCAATTAGGAGGCAGGACATGCATAGCTCTAGGCCCTGATTCTTCAAACCATGCAAGAAAACTTGCAACAGTTGGAAAATGGTACAAAATTATTATCAAGGCCTATCCTTGCTCCAAATCCCCCCTAGGGATTATTCAAATGGCCATTGCATCCAATAAGGATGAGGCTTTTGGCTCAATTTTTGATAGGAGACTTTTCTTGCATAGCACAAGGCCCATGTCACAATAGTTGCAAAATGGCACCACGTTCTATCAAGGCTACTTATTGCTCCAAATACATCTATGGATAATTCAAATTACCATAACGCCTCATTCTGTGAAAGCCCAAGTTTTGACAGGAGGTTGATGGTGCACAATGTTAATGCAAAATACTATTTTCTGCAACACCAACCTACCACCCAAATTCCATCCTTGCTGAATGAGGGCATTCAGGACAACGGGGTTTATGCAAAATAAGTGTTCTGTTGTTGTTGTTGTTGTTGTTGTTGTTGTTGTTGTTGTTGTTGTTGTTGTTGTTGTTGTTGTTGTTGTTGTTGTTGTTGTTGTTGTTGTTGTTGTTGTTGTTGTTGTTGTTGTTGTTGTTGTTGTTGTTGTTGTTGTTGTTGTTGTTGTTGTTGTTGTTGTTGTTGTTGTTGTTGTTGTTGTTGTTGTTGTTGTTGTTGTTGTTTTTGTTGTTGTTGTTGTTGTTGTTCAACCTTATGTTCATATTAAAACACTGCATACTATACATACAAGAAGCAGTGAAGCAGAATGGAATAAGGCAAGGGGAGGGGAAGAGACAAAAGTAGAGAAAAACCAGGTGATAGGATGCGCAAAGAAAAGAAGCGCGCAGAGGGAAGGTGCAGGGAGACAGCATCGAACACCACAGCCAACCACCAAAAACAGCCTAGTCGCGCAGGTCCACCAGGTAGGGCGCATCCGCCCACAGAGCCCCCCACCCATCCTCCTGCTCACACTCCCCATGCTCAGCCCGCAAGATGTCAGGCCCTCCCAACATAGAAGCCGCCTGCAGCAAGATGATCTGCGCCTGGGCCCGCTGCAGGGCCACTCCACCAAATAAGTCGAGAAAGTCTTCACATTACCCCTGCGCGCCCCTTTGCTCCTCGCCACCTGAAGCTGCACATCCTCCTGTTGCTGCAGCTACCGGCGGAACCCCCCCCCTCCCTTGAGGCAGGCCCAAGTCTCGACGATGAGTGGAGTAAACTGCACGCCTCGATGCTGTTGCAAAAACGCCTTGTAATCCGCCGCCTTCCGCTTCTCCCGCTTGCGAGCTGCGAACCTCCCCACCTGCCCAGTCAGTCCATATCGCAGTGAAGAGAGGGAGATGGGATCCACAACACTCACCTCAAGCGCGTGCGCCTCCCCCTCCATCGGTCGATGGACTACCACGCCCACCTTCTTAACCAGCCATAGCGTGTCATCCTCCATAGTCACCCCACCGCCCGAGCTCCTAGCGATCTAGGCCGCCACAAACTTGATGTCGTCATGGACCCGAAGGGCATGGTGCACGTCCGACAGGTCGACAAGCTCCGTCCCATAAACACACTTGCCCGCGACCATCAGTTGCTGAATACGGAGACCCAAGCGCTTAGCCGCAGAAATAGCCCACTTGGTGGCCGTGAAGGTAACATCATCATGCGCTGGAACCACGGAGCTGCACGTACCCGCCCCCAGGCCCTAAAGAGATGTCAAACAGGCCTGTAGTAACAGGGTGGTGGGGTCTGTAGGCTTTCGACAGTGAGACGACGCTGCTGAGTAAGGAAGAGCAAACCAGGGCCCGGGCAAACCAGGGGTCCAATAATGCCCCCGCCTCTGGTGTGCAAAAAAACTCCGCAAACATCAGCTCCTCGCCGTCTATCCCCAACAGGGCGATGGCCGATGCAGCCCGACACTAACCATATGCATAAGATAAGAGCTGGTGACATTCGGCTCGATTCTGGCCAAAACTGAGTCCGCAGCTCAATTTTGTGCATAAATGGATAAATGTGCCCCAAATTTATGGAGACATTGAGCCGCGCAAGAGTGTAACCATGCCTTCGTCACAAGGCTAGCGAAACGATTCGGCAGACGTTGCTAACAAACGGCGAACCAGTATTGTGACAAACCAGCCTCGCGAGAAAAAACCACACTGCTCGCCAAACGAACAGTTTGTTGAAATTGCGCACACTAGTTTCCCCGTTTTTGTCGTTGTTGAGCCAAGTGAATGCCAAAACCGCCGAGCCTCGCCGGGAGGTGCAGCTGGAGGCGGACCATGCGCGACTTGTCCGGATCGAGCTCCCAGCTGCCAGGCAGAGACAGCTACTCAAAGCAATCCTCAAGGGCAACATCCCAGTCTCGAAAGGCCTCCACACCTCTGGCCTAGTGGGCATCGTCCGTGTGAGGTAGACAAGGCAGTGTAGACACAGCGATGCCCAAGAGGTGGGAAGTGATCTGCGAGTGGTCCAGGAAGGGAAGCCAAGGTAAAGGCGCATGCAACTGCTTCAAGCGCTCACGCAGGCGCGCCTCCTCCCATTTTCCTCCCCAATTGGAACACCCATGACTGTCTGGCCACTACGCGCGCACTGCAAGCCTGATGGCAGCTCCTCCCCCCCCAAGCCCACCCCTAGCCGCACGCTCGCTCCCATCCCCCACCCCATCTGTGCCTGCATCGGCACGCCCACCCCTAGCGGTGCGCCCGCCCGCATTTCCCTCCCCACCCACGTCCGCGCCCTCGACCCTGCTCCCAGCTGCGTCCATGACAAACCTCCGCTGCCATCCACCGCCTCATGCTCCCTAAGGCAACACTTATGTGGTTGCACCTCCAGACCTAGCCCCCTCAACCATTCGAGCAGGTCGTCGTAGGCCCTCAAGACCCAGTCCCGAGACCCCAGAATAAACGTGTCGTCAGCATAACTGAGGAACAGGATGTCCGGGAAGTCGCGGGTGGTGGGTTCCATTGCCAGTTGCTGGTTGAACGTGAAGAGGAAAGGACCAAAAGGATCACCCTGCCATGATGGCATCCAGTCATAGGTCGCCACATCGACCCTCTCAGCTCGACGTGCGAGTCAAAGGGCTTGTGGATCGAGCTTGGGATTTTCCAGGATCCACCTACATGTCGTATTGTGATATGCTACATTAGATTTCTACAGTCGAACATCGGGCTTTGTGCTGGATTGAATGGTCAAATGCTGATAACATGAAAGGTCCACCACTAACGGAACATTTTGAAATATCTTCTATCTTATCTGCTATTATATGTCACACCACTTAAAGTGTAGTACAGGGAGAGTTACTAGCAAGGGTGTTGACACTATTTGTAAGTCAAAGAGACAATCCCACTTGGTGTATTGCACCCTTTCAGCATTGAAAGATGGCCATTCAGCCATTCACAAGAGCCCCCACTTTTGCCTGCTAAGTGTGAGCCTAGCGGCATGGCTTCAGCTTCATGTGACGCGAGGTTGGGATGACTAGATATCCAGCGGGCGCAACAATGGTTGCGACCCTAGAGGTTTAAGTTGCGAGACTCGACGGTAACTAGGTGAAACAAGCACTCCAAGGAAATTGCGTGTTCCGCCTGATCTATGGTTTTCCTTTAAACCAAGGTCCCAATTTGGAAGCCGCGAAAAGTAAATGCGGCTCGGTTTGGGACTGCATTTTGGAAGTGCTTGGATGGCGACCCAGGGTCCATCAAGGAGGTATTGCAAAGGCAGGAGGGAGAGGGGCAGGGAGTAGAGTTGCAATTTCCTAGATGATTGAGAAACGAGATGCAAAAGCCATTGCGAGTGGGGTGTCATGCTCATCGTGTTGTGCAGCATGTGCACTGGTCTGGTTTCGCCCGTCCCAGCTGGCCGCCCGTTGCCACCAGCCCGCCCGTAGCCGCTAGCCCACCTGTAGCCGCCCGCCCGTCATCGCCAAACGCCCGTAGCCGCCAGCCGCCGCCCCCCACCCCACCGGCCTTGGCTTCCGCTCTGAGCCGGCGCTCCCGCCGACAGTCTCCACCGCACTCCACTACACTTCACCGCTCTCCACCGCACTCTACTGCTTCCTACTGCACTCCATCACACTCCACCGTACTCCACCGCTCTCCACTGCCCTCCTCCGCTTTCTCTCCTCCCCTTGTCAGCGGCAGTCAGCTGCTACAGCCGTGGTGATGGCGGAATCTCTGCTCCGCCTGGACGTGGAGGGTCGGGCTGTTGAGTTTGAGGCATGGCTCGTCGACCTCCGCCACCAGCTGACCGGGCTGCGCCAAGATGGCCACTCCCTGGCCATCCATGTCGACGGTAAGCTCCCTCGCCCCGCCCCACCTGCGATCCTCCTTGACGCCCCCACGTCTGCTGCGCGTGAGGCTTTTGTCGTTGCTGAGCTTGCCTGGGCTGTCTAGGATTCCCGTGATGCCGTTGCTCAGCTTGCCATTGGTCACACCCTCCCCCTGCTGAGCGTCCCCGCTTTACCGCTATCTCAAACGCCAAGGAATACTTAGATGCCGTCATCGCGCGCTATTCCACCCCCGCTTCAGCCACTACCGGCTGCCTGATCCTCCCCATGCAGTTCCCTGACCTTGCGTCCTTCTCCATTGTCGCTGACCTGGCCACTCACCTCCATGCACTGGAGACTAGCTACCGCGCCGCTAGCACTGAGGCATAGGTCACTGCCTTCCCACTGTCGCTTTGCGATACCCTTTACCTCATTGCCACGCGCCTACCTGACCGCCTAGCCGCTGCCCGCGACCACTTCCTTAGTCAGCATCCAGGTGATCTCACCCTCACTGCCTTTGTCACTGCCTTGTCCGCGATACAGAACCGCCAGCGCACTGTCGCTCAGTCTAGTGCTACTGCGCCGGTCCCTATCTTCCAGGGTTGTGCTCCCACCCAGTGCACTTACTCTGATGTATCTGCCCCTATTGCTGAGACAGCCCCTGTTGCTGAGACCGCCGCTGCCACCTTAGTGTAGTAGCATCCGGGTAGGGGCCGCCGCCCCAAGGGGGGCCGTGGCTGAGGGAAGGGTGGTGGGGGTGGTGGAGGTGGGGGCGGGGACAGTGGTGCAGACAAGGGGACCAGGGTTGGTGCCCCAGAGCAGCAGCAGCAGCAGCCTCTGAAGCAGCAGTGGCAGCAGCAACAGCAGCCGCCGTGGGGACCTCCGCCGCCATGGTGGTCTGGTGGCGCTGGCGGTGGTGGTCATGGTGGTGCGCCGCACAGCTTGGTGTCAGGTGGCAGCTCCGGTGTGGTCACCTGCCAGTACCAGCTTTCGGCTAGCCCCCGCCGTGGCACTGTCTGCGACCGTCTAGGTCACGCCACCGCCCGCTGCTACCGTCGCCTCGACGACCTCTTCCGTCTCCAATTTGGCCCTCCACACTGGCACGCTCTGGCGCGCCACCGTGTGCCTGTCTTTGAGCTTGACATGGATCAGATTTGGTCTGCTATGTATGTCCTGTATGCTGATGACTCTAGTGTGACAGAACCCTACTACCCGCTGTTGCCTAGTGTAGGTGTGTCCACTGAGTGTAGTCTAGTTTCCCCTGCTGCATTTGGTGTAGGACCACCTGCATTGTTTAGCCTTGGCACCATGCTAGCTCCTCCGCCTGCGGCCGCTACCGCCACACTCTCCTTCACGCTAGACTCTGGTGCGTCCGCCTGCTTCTTTCGCGACCACACTGCGCTCACGCCACTTGCCGCCCCTGTTGGTGCAACCCTATGGCTTGCACTCGGCTTGTCGTCCTTGTTTGTGTGTGTGCATGCATGGCATGGAATTAATTGTGAGTCT